CTTCCCCCCCCCCCCCCCACAGCAACACACTCATAATGGGGGATGGGGCACTTTTTTTGAATTTTTATTCACATGGGTTTCACGTGTATGTGAGTTTCAGTCAAGAAACGTGTCATCCTCTTTCTGTACAAATAGATATATCCTTGTATTTTATGAAAGGAGGTAATCTACGATGGAGAAATTGGTGGGGATGATCAAAGGGTGGATATTAAGACACGAAATGTTGGTAATGCGTTCATGGTTGGTCCATTGGGACACGTAAATCTGCGTGAATGATATGATAATTATAATATTAAACTAGTTTTCTGCCTATGCAATGCATGGGTTCCACTATTTTGGAAGTATTGTTAGTGTGCTCGATGTTATATGAATTTAACAATTTAAAGAAAACAAAGTTGTGTAATGTCGAGAAGTTTTTTCTAGTTAGTTCGTGCCTTGAATTTTGTAGTTCGTATGGTTGCAATGCTATATTATTGGCTAAATGCAATAAAATAAAGTTGTAAATAGAACATTTCTTGTACATTATAATAAATAATAATATGAATATAACTATTGTGTTTGCTTTATTTATCTATTACAAGTGTGTAGACTTGAAAGCTAAAGAAAAGCAAAATTTAATATATTGCAGAAATGTGCTTCACCAAAATTACAAAAGTTCATATATATTGATAGTAAATGTACAAGAAAGATACAGTGGCAGATCATAATGTTTATATTCTAAAGGATAAAGAAGAAAGAAAAAAACTCAAAGCAACCCCTCAACCTCTTAATCTCAAAAGTAGTAAGTTATTGTAGGTAGAGTAGTATCTAGGAATTCTTCATTAAGGAACTGCACACAGCATTCTTACTTAACTGCCAACTGCTACAAAAGTAACATAGATGATTTCTATTCATGTTTTTTTCCAGGGTGGAGACATTGGTCTGGTTGTCAGTTTCATAGCCTTCACGAATCTTCTTTTTTAGTTTTGTCAAAGCAACCCCTCAACCTCTTAATCTCAAAAGTAGTAAGTTATTGTAGGTAGAGTAGTATCTAGGAATTCTTCATTAAGGAACTGCACACAGCATTCTTACTTAACTGCCAACTGCTACAAAAGTAACATAGATGATTTCTATTCATGTTTTTTTCCAGGGTGGAGACATTGGTCTGGTTGTCAGTTTCATAGCCTTCACGAATCTTCTTTTTTAGTTTTGAGTTTGATTAAATAATTTCATCTAACGTTTCGAAGAGAGAATTTTTTGCAATTGGTGATTTCTTTTGTGTTCGTGTAGACTTTAGTGGTGGGGTTGTGCATCTTCTCTTTGCCTTTTGTGTCTTTCTTGTCTAAACTTTCTTTTATTTCAATTGGATTGCTCACATCAATTATGGTACTTGAAGGATCCATTTCAGTCACTATAGATAAAGGTTCGCTATCAGTGATTCCCACTAAAGAGTTGTATGCGAAGATGATTTCGAAGTGGTATTCAGGAGGGTCTTAGCACTTCCATGTCACCTTCACATAAAATAGCAATTTTGTTTCACTTTCAATTTTCATTACATTGTTGATTTCTATATCTAGTTCTTGCGATAGAATTGTTGACCCCAAAATATGTTGCCAACAGATACTGGACCCATCTGCGGACACGCAAGCCTAGTCCAACATGCTAAGACAAGTGGGCGGTCTGGAGCGGGCTGATCGAGGGCGTGGGAGCGGCTCAAAGGTGTGGGACGACAACGTTCGAAATCCAACAAGACTTGTATAACGATTGTACAATAATTACCAATCGCAATTTGTAGAATGTGTATGTAATCTTAAATTATCTTTGTAAGGGGATGAGAGAGAGTAAAATAGAAAATATCGATTCTTGTATTGAATCTTTTAGCCTTTGTATGGGGTACATGGGGGAGCATTTATTGTGTTACAAGTTAGATCGTGGCTTTCGATTGGGAGTACATATAACCTCATCTTGTTGGTTTACATGTCAAATTATATTTATCAAGTTTGACCGCCTAGCCTGCTATACATTTATTAATTGGCAGAGCCACCGCTACTTGGACAAGATAAGACATTTGCACTCTATGATGAGTGTCCCATCAATCATTCAAAGAGGATTCTTGTGTAAGACCGGATCTATAGGGAGAAGCGATGCCAGTTGTCATGGGCTTCAGCTTTGGTATAATGGGCCTCAGTATGAAGAGCCTCAGTTATGTACACCACCTCGAATACTGCACTTTGGCATATAGAATCTGGGCCACGTCATAGGAGCTATTTTCTGGTGTTGGTCAATCTTCATTGGCTTAGGGGCTTCGGCTGAGATGCCACATAGTTCAACATGGGTGGGTCATGGGCCAAGTAGGTCAGCCAAGTGTATCGACACGTAACAATAGTCCCCCAAGTCCAATTATAGTCATTTATGTCATGGTTGGAGTTAAAAATGTATTGTCGCGTTGATTTGGTGAAGGTGTGATGAAGGAGCCAAGGCGGTGAGTGAATTGAACTTGCTGAGGCTTGTGAAGATGTGGTTGAATTGTAATAAGGAGCCGAGGCAGTAAGTGAATCGAACTTGCTAAAACTTGTGAAGATGTGGCTAAATTATGATTAGAAACCGAGGCGGTAGTGAATCGAATCTATTGAGACTTGTGAAGAAGTGGTTGAATTGTGATTAGGAGCTGACGCAGTGAGAAAATCAAACATGCCGATGTTTGTGAAGATGTGGCTGAATTGTCGAGGCTTGTTTGTAATAATTGTCTTCGATAGGCGTGCCAATGATTTGATGTTTTGCGTATGTTTTCGAGAAAAGGCAGTTGAACCGTTATGGCTCCTAAGGCACGTATGGCTACTGCATTAACTATGCAATGATGGCCACAGCTGGAGCTTCTAGAAGGTAACACGTTTGGAGAAGCTCGTGGAGGCACGTTTGAATCCGAGCCATTAACCTCAAAGATGATTTGAATTATACGCCTCGAATTAGATCAGAAAATGAAAGGCTGAGGTTTGTTGG